AATACATTATTAAGTATCCATATATCAATATCATGTAGATGTAACAATAATACATTATTAAGTATCCATATATCAATATTCTGTAGATGTAACAATAATACATTATTAAGTATTTATATATCTATTTTCTGTAGATGTAACAATAATACATTATTAAGTATTCATATATCTATATTCTGTTGATGTAACAATAATACATTATTAAGTATTCATATATCTATATTCTGTTGATGTAACAATAATACATTATTAAGTATCAATATATCAATATCATGTAGATGTAACAATAATACATTATTAAGTATTCATATATCTATATTCTGTAGATGTAACAATAATACATTATTAAGTATCCATATATCAATATTCTGTAGATGTAACAATAATACATTATTAAGTATCCATATATCTATATTCTGTAGATGTAACAATAATACATTATTAAGTATCCATATATCAATATTCTGTAGATGTAACAATAATACATTATTAAGTATCCATGCATCAATATCATATAGAAGTCACTATGATACATTATCCTCCATAAATGCAAGATCATAGTTGTCTTCGATTCGTTCATTGTTTGCTTAATCTATAAATAATAACATGGTACAATGAATAAACTGCTTATATATCATTTTATTTATACATGAGTTTACTTTTGATGGGTAACTCATATATCAATGCATTTATAATATTTTGTGGCAAAAATAAAGATGAGGAAATGAAATTATGCACATTGCCTCTGAAACTGATTATATAAAGAACAAGAAAAGAAACAAAAAGATAAACAAGTACCGTCAGGTAAGTAATTCTTGGTAACTGTGTGCGTGCCAGAGAGCTCAGAGTAGTTAGCGTCAAAACTGTAGTTATACCCAGACTTGCCCTAGCAGGAGTGGATTCAACGCTTAACCAGAATGACACCCATGATAATATGACTAGCAAGAATGATGGTACATAATACTCCATAACGTAGTAAATAATCTGCCGATAAAGGTCGAATCTGCATATTAGGCGATCGTAAATCCCTGGAAAGTATAAATAATATACAAATGAAAAAAATATATAGTAACAATACAATACATGTGTTAGACAGGATAATTTGTCACATACGTGTTTACACTAATGGAAAAAAATTACATTTCACAGTTTTCGCTTTTTGTTACAATCTCAATTTGAGCTCAGATAAGAACACTAGGTACAAAATTGCAATTTTCACCACTGTCACTTGCAGCCATGATATTATGAACATTGCAATTACATTCAACAGATTTTCACGCTGACTGTAACCATTCATTCCATACGTAAGTGTGGGTATTGTTATTGTCGCTGTACAATTGTGTATTTGAGCTTATATTTGCTTCCAGAAACTCCTTTACTCTTTCACAATTGGTGAAGAGATGTTCAATGTCGTTATTTACATTACATAACGAACATAATGTTTCATTAGTTATTTTCCACTTGTATAAATTTTATCTATGAGGCAAGATATCATGGAGAAATTTATACATAAAACTGAACAATTGTTTAACATTACAGAACCGATGTATGCCATGAAGTATCTGAAATTCGGTTTCCCAGTGGTATATTGAGCCACTGTTTCGGTAACCCATTGATTAAAGGGCGGTAGTTCGTCGCGTGACATTTATGTTGATAAACATTGATTTTCCCACAATCCAATGCGCTCTTCTAATTGAAATCACAAGTATGAGGATTGACCTGGGCGCGACGTGCACTAATTACCGCCGATGACTTCTTCGATACCTTACAATCACTTGAAAATACCTAATTAAAGCTTGGTAACGTCTCAATTTGTATTCGTTGATCTGCGTAACAGTCAAAGTCGCCATCTTTGTTTATATAAGGCCCATATATCCCGCGCATGCGTGGCGCGACGACTTTGCTTTACATTTTTTTACATTTCGCAGTAGTTTTATAGTATTTCATTACCATAGTCATCAATGACATGGCTTACAAATATGATGTTTGAATTGACCCATGATTTGTAATAATGTGTTTGCCATGAAGGTAAGCTATTTTCATGAACGCCAGTGATTTAATTACTGCAATTTCACCATACAAAATGATAATTCTGTGTGACCATAGCGATGGGATATGTACTATGGCATTCATGTTTTTGTTTAGAGCGAGAAAAATATCCGCACGAGTGTCATATAAGATAAGGGTACCTAGAGATTGTATTGGCATCTTTAACCATCTCAAACCAGCAAAATCATCGGGTCGTTTGTTACGTGGCCCAATCCATATGCCTTTTGTTTTTCCAACGTTTAGACATAACCCCGACACTGAGCTAAATGTATTCACTAAACTATAGAATCTGTATTTGATACGAAAATAGTAGTATCATCAGCTACGCGAGAAATTTGTATTTGTAATACCTTTAATTTTATTATCAGTTTTAATATTAATTGCATGGATCTCCACTACATGTAGAAAGAGTGAAGACGAAATAGGGCAACCTTGCATCTTTGTAGCGGAATAGGCCGTGATAACCACCCGGCAGTCATAATAAAGTGTTTTAATATAACTAATGTAGCCTAAAGTTAAATTTGTAAACAAAAGGCTCCATTCAACACTATCGAACGCTTTCCTGATATCAAAGAACAGTATTGCACCAGGTATTTTCTGAACTGTTGTGTAATCAATTACAGCGTATATAAGCCTAACATTCTGTCTGATAAATCGTTTCTTTATTTTTGCTGTTTGGTCTTCGTTTATAATTCTATTCATAATTGGTTGTAGTAGTAGTCGCTGCCAGTACAAAATTTTATAGTCTACGCTAAGAAGACGAATAGGCCGTTTTATGTATCAAACACAACAATGCACTCCATTGCGAAATAAAAAGTATATGTTTATTTGTCCCAATGATAATCGTTTCATGAAATTTGTAAAATTCGGCTGGTAATCCATCGTTACCAGTAGATGTATCGTTTTTAAGTTCCGAACGACGTTAGTGCATTCTCCACACGATATAGGAGTGCCATGTTTAAGTTTTTCTTCTTTGCTAATTAGATTTTCTAGATTAATATCTTGTACATATTTGTTTATATCATTACCATTTAATTATTATTTGACGAGAAGAGCGTATTATAGAATTCACTAGTTGACTTGAGAATTTTCATTGGCGTGTTTTCAATTCTATCGCCGACTTTTAATTCTGCATGTCGTTTGTCGAGTTTCGTTTTTGTTCCAAATTGAGAACAAATTTTGTAGGTCTATCACCTTCAGTAGCCCACTTAGATCGGCCGACAATTGTTCGATTTACATTTTAACGTGTTCATACTCATTTAGTATTTCTGTATCGAGTGTATCATTTATTTTAGGTTCTAAATACTAACGTTTTTGACGCATACGATTTTTGGCAAAATAGATTGAAATTAGACGGAAGCAGTGATATCAGTACATTCTATTCTCGTATTTCGATATGATACCGTCTTTATAATGATCAATTTGTAGTAAATTCACGTCCAGTTTCCAAACACCTGGTCCTCTTTCATGTCCTGAACTTTTAACCGAGATTAGAACTGCGCGATGATAGGTAAGAATAGCTGGTTTAATAAAACAAGACGGCAGTGAATTTTAGGCGAGTTTAGGTATCAAAAAATAATCTAATCTGGTTAGAACAAGCGAATATATTGACGATAGGTGAACTCGCGTAGGTCAGGGTTCATAAAGCGCCACATATCAATAACTTGTAGTGTTGAACAAAATGAATTAAATGCAGATGTTGAATTTGAAATAGACCTTGCCATATCACCTGTTTTGTCTTTGAATTTATCCACAATGCAATTAAAGTCACCTGCGATAATTAGATTAGGAATTTCTTACGTAAAAACGTGTTTTGAATATTAATAGTATGAAGAGCATAGATATTATCGAAAGAGTAAAAGTCGTTAAATATTTTATAATTTACCAAACTTATTCTGTAATCTGATGAGACGTTAGAAGATAAAACATTTATAGCTATTTTTGAAAAAGGATGGCAACCCCTCTACTGCTATGAGTGCCAAAACAATGGAATGTATTACCTTTCCATTCACGATAAAAATATGGAACTATTTCCTCAGTAATGTGCATTTCTTGTAAGAAATGGATCACACGCTATCTTGTATTGAATCATATCCTCGTCCAATATGGCGTTGTGGGTCGCACGCTATCTTGTATTGACTCATCTTCTCATTCAATATGGCTTTGTGGGTCTCACACTATCTTGTAAAGAATCATCTCCTCATCAAATATGGTGCTGTAGATCGCACACTATCTTGTATTGATTCATCTCCTCATCCAATATGGCGTTGGGGGTCGCACACTATTTTGTATTGAATCATATCCTCATCCAATATGGCTTTGTGGGTCTCACTCTATCTTGTAATGAATCATAATCATTTCCTCATCCAATATGGTGCTGTGGGTCGCACACTATCTTGTATAGAATTGACTTCTCATCCAATATGGTGCTGTGGATCGCACACTATCTTGTATAAAATTGACTTCTCATCAAATATGGTGCTGTGGATCGCACACTATCTTGTATAAAATTGACTTCTCATCAAATACGGTGCTGTGGGATGCACACTATTATATAAAGAACCAGCTCTTCATCCAATATGGTGCTGTGGATCGCACACTATCTTCTATAGAATTGACTTCTCATCCAATATGGTGCTGTGGATCGCACACTATCTTGTATAGAATTGACTTCTCATCCAATATGGTGCTGTGGGATGCACATTATCTTGTATTGAATTGACTTCTCATCCAATATGGTGCTGTGGGATGCACACTATTATATAAAGAACCAGCTCTTCATCCAATATGGTGCTGTGGGATGCACACTATCTTGTATTGAATTGACTTCTCATCAAATATGGTGCTCTAGGATGCACACTGTTTTGTAAAGAATCAGCTCTTCATCCAATATGGCGCTCTCCGTTCAATATAGTGGTGTTGGTCGAACACAATCGGGAATAAAATCAGCTCTCCATCAAATATGACGCTGTGGGTCGCACACTATCTTGTAAAAAAAATCATCTCCTCATCCAATATGGCGCTATGGGTCGCACACTATCTTGTATTGAATCATCTCCTCATCCAATATGGCTTTGTGGGTCTCACACTATCTTGTAAAGAATCATCTCCTCATCCAATATGGCGTTGTGGGTCGCACACTATCTTGTAAAGAATCATCTACTCGCCCAATACGACGCTGTGGGTCGCACACTATCTTGTAAAGAATCATCTCCTCATCCAATATGGCGTTGTGGGTCGCACACTATCTTGTAAAGAATCATCTCCTCATCCAATATGGTCCTGTGGATCACACACTATCTTGTATTGAATCATATCCTCATCCAATATGACGTTGTGGGTCGCACACTATCTTGTATTGAATGATCTCCTCATCCAATATGGCTTTGTAGGTCTCACACTATCTTGTATTGAATCATCTCCTCATCCAATATGGCGTTGTGGGTCGCACACTATCTTGTGTTGAATGATCTCCTCATCCAATATGGCGTTGTGGGTCGCACACTATCTTGTATTGAATCATCTCCTCGTCCAATATGGCGTTGTGGGTCTCACACTATCTTATATTGAATCATCTCCTCGTCCAATATGGCGCTGTGGGTCGCACACTATCTTGTATTGAATCATCTCCTCATCCAATATGGCTTTGTAGGTCTCACACTATCTTGTATTGAATCATCTCCTCGTCCAATATGGCGTTGTGGGTTTCACACTATCTTATATTGAATCATCTCCTCGTCCAATATGGCGCTGTGGGTCGCACACTATCTTGTATTGATTCATCTTCTCATCCAATATGGCGCTGTGGGTCTCACACTATCTTGTAAAGAATCATCTCCTCATCAAATATGGTGCTGTGAGACGCACACTATTTTATAAAGAACCAGCTCTTCATCCAATATGGTGCTGTGGATCGCACACTATCTTGTATAGAATTGACTTCTCATCCAATATGACGCTGTGGGTATCACACTATCTTGTAAAGAATCATCTCCTCATCAAATATGGTGCTGTGAGACGCACACTATTTTATAAAGAACCAGCTCTTCATCCAATATGGTGCTGTGGATCGCACACTATCTTGTATAGAATTGACTTCTCACCCAATATGACGCTGTGGGTCGCACACTATCGCTCAAAGAATCAGCTTCCTATCCAATATGACGGTGTTGGTCGTTCATTATTGTTAAAGCGATATATATACTTTTTGACATTATACTCCAAATGTGCATCCCGTCGTCAATATACAGATAAAGTTGGCTAGCGATTAGATTCAATGATTTTTTTTAAAGAACTTGAAGAGAATTAATTTCCGTTTCTAAGTAATTACTAGCACTTAAAAACGAATAATCCCATTAAAAAATGTTATTCTGTTTTTGCGCACGGAGACTTGTATATTTCTATAATGATAGCGGTCTAGTGTCTGAGTAAAAGATGTGTTATTTTACGATTGTTATTAACACGGACCGGATGAGTTGATGTACACAAAATACGCGGTTCCGAAACTGTGAATAATAAGGCATGTGTCCAGGATAATATTTGTAATATAAATGTGTCAACATATTTCAGTTTCAATAGCTTGTTATATAAAATGGATGCGTGGAAATTAGACACATTCTCACGAAATCTCTCTCATTACGTCGAAGATTGATTGACAAATACAAAATCAGTGACAAATACTATCCTGTCTGTTCTACCGTCACGTTGTTTGTAACAGTTTATTGTTTCCTAGGTCTAATTTGGTTTTTATTCGTGGAGAATCCATTAGTGTTTATATTAAAGTTTGTGAATAAGACTGTAAGGGAGAACTTACCCATCGGAAATGGTATCTCCTGTTTGGTCGTAGTTGTCTCGTGTAACGTAAAGCCTGGCAAAGACACCTCGCTATCCATTATTGCTGTAACATTACCGGTTCTTCCCCATCCCCAGTTCAGACGTATGTCGTCTGTGTTGTAGATAACTTGGGTTCAAAATAGGATATTAAAAATAAGGACCAGCAAAATATTTATTTTTACATTTTCTTACATTCCGCGCAGACTCTTTGTTTGGCTTATTTCAACATTACTCTAAAGAAAATGTCAGTTTCATTATATATGAATCAAAATGGAGAAAGCATACATAACATTGA